TTTTCAACCGTTAGATAGGACAGGTGGGGAAAAAAAAGTGCCGGACGCTGACCGTAGTGCGGACTGTACCAATTCCGTACTGAATTCCACGTGGGGCATTTACCTTCATAGCGCACAACTCTTCTGTATTTACATATCTAACCCTTACACTTTTTACACGAATAACGTTTAAATTTCTAATAACACGTCAAAAATAGCTATATTATAATTTTTTAAAAGTTAAATACTCATTTTCATAAATAAATTTTAAGCATTAAAATATTATACGTGTAAATATGAAAGTTTAGATATGAGATATGTAAATAAATAAAAATTATTTGCTATATATGTAAATTTTTTTAATTTTAAAATTCTAAAAAATCAATGTTTTCAAATTCATTTAGGTAAAATTGAAAACTGCATAAATATTATTTTTTAAAAAAATTGAGTTTCAATAGTAATTATATTAACATTTTAAAAACTAAAATACCTTTCAAATTTGAATCTTCTATTACAACAACAGCAAATTCTTAATCCCACTATGTGGGGTCGGCTACATGAATCCTTTTTCTTCATTGCGCCCTATTTAGTCTCATATTTTCATTTAGTCCCAGTAAATTAAGATCATTTTTAATACAATAAGCTCAAGTTTTCCTAGGTCTACTTCTGTCTTAAGAACACAAGTCGAATCTAAAACATCTACTCTCCTAATCAGATCATCAGGTGGTCGGTGTTTAACGTGTCAGGTGGTCGACGTTTAATGTGACCAAACCATTTAAGACGACTTTCTCTAATTTTGTCCGCCACAGGAGCTACACCAACAAATTTGAATATTCTGATAAAAAGGAAAATTATCTATATATTTTATAAGAAAATAAACAATTTTCTTATAAATTTAATGTCATATGAGCTTTGCATTGATAATAATTCATTTTAGAAAATTGAATTTTAATTATAATTATAACAAGGAAAATAAATAATTTTCTTTTAAATTTATATTAAAATTTTTTTTTTCTGGCAATATTGACTGCCGATTAATGCACCCTCTGCCCACAAGAGCACGTGAAATGGGAGTGCAGCGTACAGAAAAGCCATGTGCATTTATCACTAAAAGCTCCAAAAGCAATAAAAACTCCCCTACAAACGGAAAAAATATTATATTAAGACTCCGCAGGCAGAGTTACGTGTGAAGTTTAATGAAATTATATCATAGAAGTGATCGGTCTGATAACAGAAGAGAATATTTTTTCTCGTGTTATACCGTGTTATTGTGTTCTGAGAATATTTCCGGTGTTATAATAACACAATAACACATTTCTAATACTTGAATAACATACAATAACATCTGAATAACACACAATAATAGTTGAATAACAAGGGAGTAATATTTTCTTGTGTTATCGGGTATAATTTTTTTTTTTCTACGGAGCGTGACTCCATTCGACTCCGCACGAGTCCTGATGTAATATTTTTTCGAGGATATTTTTGTAATGGAATTTTGTTTATTTTTACAGTAAATTATAGATAAAAAAATTATTCCAAAAAAGCAATGATATTATGTTATATATTGTATAATTTTGATTTATAGTGGTTAAATTATTGGTTGTAAAGTTTTATGTTAAATTTATAATTATACATTGTAATCATACAATTTAAGAAATCTTTTTCTTAAAAATGTGGTAATTTATTATATTAAAATAATAAAATTTTGTTATTTTTAGGGGAATTTACATACAGAGCACCCAATTCTTTTGCATTTTCTTATCTCGCACCCAAACTTTGATTTCTACATTGTAAGCACTTTTTTGTAAGTATTAAAAAGTGAAAACAGTGTAATCCACCTTTGCATACAAAGGTTAGGGTGTTTATCATGTAAAAAATCAAAGTTTGAGTGTGATATACATAAGTATTGAGGGTTATGTATGTAAATTTTCAGCTCATTTCAAGATGAACATGAGCTGAAAATGAAGAAATTGAATCTGATTTGAACTGAACGCGATATGCTATTCACGATCAATTTCAAAAAAGAGCTATATTCGAACAAATAAATTCAAAATGAGCAGAATACGAATATGGATTGAGTTCGCCTAAGCTCGACTCGTTTATTATCTTACTAATCATCAGTGGCAGGACCATAACTTAATGAGAGGAGTTGTGAAATTAAAGTTAAAGAGGCAACAAGCATTGATGGTTACAACATTTATCTCCTTAAGAATATTTTTAAAGAATTATAAATATTATTATTAAATTTAAAATATAGATTTTTAGTAAATTATTATTAAATAATTAAATTTAAGTAGCAAATTTTTTCTTATATTATATAATATTAAATAGCTAATTAGTAAACACTTAGAATTATATAGAGTAAATACCAACATGATTCTCACATAAATTAAAATTTTAGAAAGAAAACACCTATAAGAAATATATGATTTTATTCATGTAAAAGTCTTTAAAAAATATATAATTATTCTAATTGGCTACTTACATGATTTTTATTCTCTTAAAAATAATAGCTTACAAGGCACGTACCTTAAAAATAAAAGATTTATACAAAAAATAAGGAAAAAAACAAGGATTTATCCGGCTGACTAGGGTATGTTACATGCATCAATTTTCTTTATTGTGTCCTATTGAGTCACTTATTTTCATTTGATTCCGACAAATCTTTTTCAATCTACCTCCACCATTCTTAATATTAGTCAAATCTAGAACATCTATTATCTTAACTAGGCCATGTTATGGTTGACATTTCATATGACTAACCCATTTAAGGAGACTCTCTCTGAGATCCGATCTTTGTTTGTCATTCAGTAGTTGAACCAATAGGGGCAATGCACTCAGACATAACTCAAGATGTTGTAAAATGTTCAATATAAAATCAATGATTGATGATTTCAATGTTAGGTAAAAGCGTCAGACATAACTCAAGATGTCTGTCATAACATCTAGATTAAATGAGATATATCTTTTTTTTATTTTATAAGTTGTTAGTAATTTTTTTCATTTCATTTTATTTATCTTGGTTCCATCCCTGTTGTCACTGGGGCTACTTCACTACTCCAACCCATTCACAAATATATTCATTTTACATTTTGTCTTTAAGTGTGAAGCCATTCACTCATCCACCTAAGCATTCTCATCGGATCATCATTTAACTTAATTTTATGTGTTTCTTTTGTAGTGCACCATTCTGCGGCATAAAATATTCTAAGTCTCACCGCCATCTTATAAAATATTTCTTGAATTCTAAGGGTGAGTTTGGGGCAGCTACAACTTATTGAATAATTTGTTGATAAACTGATAAAAAATAATCTGATGATAAGCTAGGTGTGGTGACTATTACAATTTTTTTTTTTTTTATGATGAGCTAGGTGTGGTGACAATTACAATTTTTTTTTTTTTTTAAACCGCTGCCAGAAAGTTGCCACCGCACCTAGATAAGAGCGGTGTAAAAATGTTATTTTTGGCATTTTGAAAACGCGTAAAGAGCGGTCTAAAAATGTTATTTTTGGCATTTTGAAAACGCGTAAGCTGCCAAAACACAGTTTACCCAAATATGTCAGAAGTGTTTTCAAAACGCCACCGCACTAAATAAGCTGTCACAAACAGACCCAAAGTGATACTTTTTCATCACACATAATAGATCAGATGCATCCCTCCACTTCAACCATCCAGCTTGAATTCTACTAATAATATCTCAATCAATATCACCATCACTATGAACAACTAACTCAAGGTATATAGAAAAGTCAATTTTTTAAGGTATGTTTGGGACAGCTTTAAATTATTTATAATATGTTGATAAGCAGATTATCCTGATGATCTGATAATCTGTAGATTCTCAGGATAAACTAACCTATTGTTTGGGGAACCTTATTCAGAACTGCTTATTGACAGTTGTTACTGGATAAATGACTATTATGCCCTTGTTTGACAGCTTGCAAAAAATAAATCGATCAACAAGTTAACTTCAGCTTTGCTCATGGAAGCCATGGTTGCCCTTGAGCAAATGGGTCGTCCAAGGTGTTATATCTCCTCTGCTTGAGATTTTTTTGAGAAAGGTAGTTGAGTGGATCTCTGAATGACTACAAGAAAGTTGTCTTTGACCTCGCATGAATTCAACTCGCAATGCAAGGCGTTGAGGATGAAGGACCTTGACTTCGGCTCGGGATGAAAGGGGCCGCGGGAGAAGGTAAACGACGAACGAGCTCAGGACGATGGCGAGGACGAGGGAGAGCAGAGAAGGGGACAGGAGGAAATCTTCACCTTAACACGTGAATCCAACGCAGAACATGGCCCCAATCCCGCTTCACGCCCAATTAACAAAAACTCTTAAGTGCATTCGACGCGGTGGAATTAATCCGGAGCGAATGTGTTTTTCAAACACGAAGGCGACGTCCGCATATCGCCACCGCACCCTAATAAGTTGCCCCAAACAGACACTTAATGACAATCACCATTATTACAAACCGGGCCTCTAGATTCACTACAACTAAAATTATATTCCATGCATTCAATTTTAGATCTATTCATCTCATTATTACAAACCGGCCCTCTAGATTCAGTACAACTAAAATTATATTCCATGCATTCAATTTTAGATCTATTCAGATAAAAGCCTTAAAGCTCTAAAGTTTACCTCCACACCCCTAAATTATTAATACTATTATATGGAATAAATATTGCTTATTATTTCCTTTATTAATTATTTTATCCTAATATAATTATTCCGAGTTATAAATTATAAGACCCCTAATATAATTTTTTCGCCGACAGGCGAAATGGTTGGGAACTGCGCATGAGAATCTTGACCGTTGGTTTGTGATCCAACCGCCCGGAAGGACTGCCAGACTCAAATTTGGTAAACCAAACACAAGAAAACAATAATTGGCCAAGTTATTGGTTGGAGGGTTATTGATATAATTTATGAGAATAGAAGGGGGCTGCATGCAAAAAATGGATTAACATTACGGATTTTTGTAATAAATGAAGATAATAATGGATGGTGGCTGGGCGTACCCGCCAGGTACATGCCTGCTTATGCGGGAGGTGGTGCGGTTGCTCCGCTTCTACACTCCTCTCTCTTCCACTCTCTTTTCTCTACTGTTCCAGCGTCTCTCTCTCTCTCTAACTCACCCACGAAACCCTAGTGGCTTGCAGAACTATCTTTCTTCCTTTTTTGTATCGATCTGCGCGGAAAGGTGTGGCGTGACAGCTCGTACAGGTGATGCTACTTCTCTCTCTATCTTTCTTTCTCTGGCTTTTCTTGGTCTGATTTTGGTGCATAAAAGGGTGGGGTAGAATATCTTTTTAACTTTTCATTCTGCTTTGAAGGTGTGTGAGCTGCGTGGAATTCCACTCACGAATTCCGTAGAAAGCTGGAACATCTTTAATAGAAGCGGCGGCATAGAGTTTGGAAGCAGGAAGGGAGGAAGAAGGGGATGGGGGAAAGCGCAATGACACTTGATGCTGTCCTCAAGGAGGCCGTCGATTTGGTTTGAGATGCAATTTTGTTGCTAGACTGTTTTCTATATGGGGTTTTGGGGTGGATTTTTGTTTATTTTGTCGTGGTTTTGAGGGAATTTGCAGGAAAATATACCCATTGAAGAGGTGTTTGAGCAACTGAGATGCAGCCAGGAAGGGCTCAGCAGCAAGTCGGCAGAAGAGCGGCTCGTCATTTTCGGCCCGAACAAGCTGGAGGAGAAGGAGGTTTTCTCTTGGAAACCCGTGTATTCTGCTTATTGATTTTGTGTGTTTTATGGTTTGCAGATTTTTTTTTCTACTTTTGCAGGAGAGCAAGATTCTCAAATTCCTGGGATTTATGTGGAACCCTCTTTCTTGGGTTATGGAGGCCGCTGCTATCATGGCCATTGCTCTTGCTAATGGAGGAGTGAGACATTTGTCTTATTCTTAGGGTTCATTTTGCTAATTATTGATAGAAAATGTGTTTGAGAAAATGTTTTTTCGTTTTTCAATTAATTTGTGTGTGAAAAGATGGAGGCATTACTTTTCTGTGTTTGCTTTGTAAGTGTTTTTGTTGGAGCTGCTTTTTAATGTTATTTTAGTTGGAATTTAAGAAAGCTTTAGCTTAAATCCCGACAAATGAAATCGTGGGACTTTGAGGGGTTGTTTGATATTCTATTTTGTGATATGATTGCGAGATTTATAGATGTACCAGTTGATGTGGTATATATATAAATCAAACATGAGAACGATCAACAAAGCAAAAGATAGAACGAGAAAAATCACACAAACAAATAAAAACAACACAACGAAACACACAAATTTATGTGGTTCGGCAAATTGCCTATGTCCACGGAGTTGCAGAGGATTTTACTACTTGAGGAATTTACACCAATCAATCACCTCGACTTACAAGAGGAATCTCTCACTCTTCGTTGCTCTCGTTCTTCTTCTCTCTCTATTCTTTCTTTCTCTATACCGAGATACACTGAAGAAAACTCTACACCGAGATACACCGAAGTAGACAAACTTATAAGAGAAATAAACTCAATTTCTCTTCTGCCACAGGATACCAAGAAGAAGTCTAGGGAGAACAATCTTTTTCTTCTTCCTCCTTCTTCCTTCTGCCGCAAGGAACTGCTCCTCATTGCACTTCTCTTCCTCTGCCCCGAGGAAACCTTTCTCTATCCCGAGGAAACCGAAGAACTCAAAGCGTGACTACTACTATTTTTGGGAGAGCATTCAAAGTGTTTTATCATAAATAGGAGGGAGCGAAGAGATGCTTCACTTCACAAAAGAAGAAGACGAGAGTAGTTATTTGCGAAGAGGTGTGACCCTCCAAAACAAAGTAACCACCCAAGCATAGTGGACCGGGCTCCACCATTTATAACAATTCTTTCACTTTGAGACCGATACACAGGCTGCAACAAAATTCTCCACCTTGAATCCTTCACATTGAATCTTCCACATTTTCAACTCAAATTCTGTCTTCACTTCAGAAGACCAACTGAACCTGTGCACAAGAATTCTCCACCTTGAATCTTCCACATTGAATCTTCCACATTTTCAACACAAATTTTGTTATCACTTCAGAAGACCAACTGAACCTGTGCACAAATTCAGTTTTTCAAGAGTAACACCCTCAGTCAACTTATCAGTAGGTTCCGCATAGTTTTGTGCCTCCAACCTATTTTCTGGGTCACTCTTGTCTCTTCTTACAACTTCTACTGCATGAGCAACATCCTGCCTCTGCTGAAAGCCTTTTTCAACAAGTCTAGCCTTGTACATCTTATTGACATCTTGACATCACGCTCAGTCTTCACAGTCTTCACCCGGTACACCCATTTGCTGTGCAGTGTCTTCTTCCATTGTGGAAGTTATGCCAGCTCCCACTTGCTCGCTGATACACCCACTTGTTGTGCAGTGTCTTATTCCATTGTGGAAGTTATGCCAGCTCCCACTTGCTCGAACTTTCATCTTGCAAGATTTCTTCATAGCTCTGTGGTTCTTCAACATCTGTTTGTGGAATAATACGAATGAGTGTCCCATACTCACTTTCCTCTTCACTTTCATCACTGCCCTGCACTGTGGCCTCTGGTAGATTTTCTACCACATTCAAAAACCCTGAATCCAACATCAAGTCTTCAACAGAACTATGAACTGCCAACAATAGTGTATCCTGTGATTCTTCAGATACCACATTTGCGTTATCATTCTCCATCTTCTTAGGATTCGTGCAGTTCTTTATGTGGCCAGCCTTGCCATATTTCCAACAGGTTGTCTGCTTACTAAACTTTGATTTTGTGCAGTTCTTTATGTGGCCAACCTTGCCATATTTCCAACAGGTTGTCTACTTACTAAACTTTGATTTTGATCTCTATGTACTATAGTTTCTGTCATGCTATCTCCCTCTAAAATCAACATTTAGTGCCGAACTCGAATCTGAAACATTGTTAGAATTTTTTCTGCGAACTTTCTCGAACTTTCTAAGCCAAAATTAAATCACGAATATCATCGTATTTCAGTTTAGATTTACCTGTAGAACTGCTAAGTGCTATATTCATGGCTTCCCAACTATCTGACAATGAAGCCAACAAGATCAGTGCACATATCTCAACATCAAAATCAATTTTCACAGGCAACAATTGATTTGTGATAGTATTGAAAACATTCAGGTATTGAGCAACGAAAACACGTTCCACCATCTTCAAATTGAATAACTTCTTCATCAAGTGCACCTTATTATTCGCCGATAGTTTTTCATACACATACATGATCAGACTGTCATGAGATCCGCAGTCATTCTTTTCATGATGATGATGTGTGCAACAAACCTCGATAGGGTCAATCGAATAACCCCCAGAACTTGTCGATCCAACAAATTCTATTCAACCTCATCCATCATTTCAGGACTTTTCCCTAATAACGGAAGATGAAATTTCTTTCAATAAAGTTAATCCTCTATCTGCATTCTTCAATAACCAAAATCTGTGTCATCAAATTTCTTGATCCCTGAAACCTTCATTTCATCTGCAGACATCATTCTTCCTCAGATCCGAAACCATGCTCTGATACCAGTTGATGTGATTGCGAGATCTATAGATATACCAGTTGATGTAGTATATATATAAATCAAACAGGAGAACGATCAACGAAACAAAAAATAGAATGAGAAAAATCACACCAGAAAAGAACAACACAGCAGAACATAAAACAACACAGCGAAACACACAAATTTACGTGGTTCGGCTAATTTTCTACGTCCACGAAGTTGCAGAGGATTTTACTACTTGAGGAATTTATACCAGTCCATCACCTCGACTTACGAGAAGAATCTCTCACTCTTTGTTGCTCTCTCTTCTTCTTTCTCTGTTCTTCTCTCTCTATACCGAGATACACCGAAGAAAACTCTACACCGAGAATCGTACAAGAGAAATAAACTCAATTTCTCTTCTGCCACAAGACACCAAGAAGAAGTCTAGGGAGAACAATCTTCTTCTTCTTCCTTCTTCCTTTTGCCGCAAGAAACTGCTCGTCCTTGCACTTCTCTTCCTCTGCCCCGAGGAAACCTTCCTCTATCCCGAGGAAACCAAAGAAGAACTCAAAGCGTGACTACTACTATTTCTGGGAGAGTCATTCAAAGTCTTTTATCAAGAACAGGAGGGAGCAAAGAGACACTTCACTTCACAAAAGAAGAAGACGGGAGTGGTTATTTGCGAAGAGGCGTGACTCTCCAAAGCAAAGTAACCATCCAAGCATAGTGGATCAGGCTCCACCGTTTCTAACATTTTGGGCATCTTTAAGCTAGATTTAACTTTAATCTCACTAAATAGAATTTTGGTTACTAGAAGTCCCACTATTTGATAAAATTCAATTAAATTTAGTTATTAGTTAAGTTCATATTTTATTAATTTCCATAGTTCATGGGGTTTAATAGATTTGAGTTGTCCTACAAATATTAAATATTAAAATAAATAACCAAATAATTGATTATAATTACGAAGGTTTAGAAAATATCATGCCAAAATAGTTTTGAATTTTTAACCTTCTCAAGCTTCACTATATTCTGCTTAAGTTAAATTCTACTTGTAGCCAATCACCCTTGAGTCATATTCTTTTGATAGATCTTATTTCAACCTTATTTTGCTTAAATATAGGATTTGTTAAATCTCACGAATCACATGATTTAATGAATTTAATAAGAGTTTCTCTCTTTTGCCGATATTTAATTTTGTGAAAGAATAGTCAAAACAATTTATCACGATCTAAAAAGTTTTAATAATTTTCATGCTAAATAGTTTTTCAAGATTTATTCCTCCCAAGATTCACTAAAATATTTGTACATTATTTATTAATTTCTTTTCGAGTTAAATCCTGTAAGTAGCCAAACACTTCCTAGAGTTTAAAATTAATATTGATTTCTACCTACATCTAGCTAAATATTGCAATTCTTTAAATTTTATTTTCTCTATGTATAATTTCTAATCTTAAGCAACTAAATATACCTTATTATTGTAGAGTTAGGTTTATTAGAGTTAATAGGATTATTACATTTCTATAGTCTATACTAATATTGTGACACATGATTAATAATTATTAGAAACTCTAGACTTTATTATATAGAGTTGTCACATTTGCTTAGATTTAAGTATTGTCAATCAGGAAGGATGGAAATCTGACTGCTAAATTAGAAGTTTTCTATAATTAGAAGCTTCCTTATTTTCAATATATTTATTCTGATTTATTTTGCTTTTAGCTGAATATTTAGATTAGGAATATGTATTATTAAGCTACCTAAAATAGATTATGCATTTTATTTTGCACCTAAAATAGATTGTAAGATTGTTATTTAATTGAATGAAAGCAAAGGGAAATGGCAATCGAGCCTATTCAGAATTCAGTCTATTTCTCAAAACTTTGATATGGTATCAGAACCAAGTTTTGTTCTAACCACTGATAATCGTTGAAGGAGCCTCAAAACTCTCTTCCCGCCGGTCTTCTTGCAGGAAGGGAGGAACTACTTCTCTGCCTTCGATTCGCCTTCTACCGGGTTGCGTCGTCCTCCTTCTACGTCCTCTCCCTCTCATGCCTGGGCTCGCCAACAGGGTTAGGGTTACGGCTCCGCTCACCCTACCGTAGAATTTCAGCTCAATCGTTCATGGCGCCACCATCCTCGGCCTAATCGCCTCCATCATCGGCGTTCTTCGCCATCCGTTTACTTCATTTGGTGGTAGCGACGATGTGCGGAGCACTGATGATGTTCTGCCTGAACAAAATCTCTGTGTTTGGTCACGAGCCGGAGACTGCAAGGAAACTGCAGGGCTCGACGCACCTCGATCAGCTCCTGATCCAGATCTCAGACTCCTTCGCGGAATTGTTATTGTTCCCCATAGCATTCCTTCTCTTCATGGTTTCCTTGGTAAATGACCGCGACTTCCAGACTTTCTTCGCTAGAGGCTTTGAGCCTATTTAGAATTCAACTTATTTCGCCTCGCTCTCCAGAAGGATTCCTTCTCTTCATGGTTTCCTTCGTCAATGACCGCGACTTCCAGACTTTCTTCGCTAGAGGCTTTGAGCCTATTTAGCTTTGAGCCTATTTAGAATTCAGCTTATTTCGCCTCGCTCTCCAGAAGGATTCCTTCTCTTCATGGTTTCCTTCGTCAATGACCGCGACTTCCAGACTTTCTTCGCTAGAGGCTTTGAGCTTATTTAGAATTCAACTTATTACGCCTCGCTCTCCAGAAGGCGAAAGCCATCCTCGCGCTTCACTGTTGTCATTTGCCGATTACCGACCGCAATGTGAAGTCGGCGAACGTGCTTCCAGACGAACGATTTAATGCATGTTTCGGTGATTTTGGTCTCACTCTCAAAAGCGATTGATATGAGAACAAAGCCGACAGATTCAATTCATGGCTCCACTCCACACTGCCTGCATGGACTCTAGGGTATCATCTTGTGGAATACAAGGATTCTTGGGTTGAAAAAAGACTTTTATGTTTGTATTATTATTCGACCGATTCAGTTTTTTCAACAATTTCCACAATACATTGCTGCTTCTGTGACATCTTCGACTGTCTTATGCTTCGCTTCGTCCTCCTTGGCTTCGGCTTCGATACTCATTCCTAGATTGATGGCTTCGGTTTTGGTAAAACTTTGGCTTTGACACTCTTGGGTTTTCGCACTCTTGGGTTTCGACTCACTTGGGCTTCGCTATTCGATGGCTTCGGTTTTGGCAAAACTTTGGCTTCGACACTCTTGGGTTTCGACTCACTTGGGCTTCGCTATTCTTGGGCTTCGACAATTTCAGGCTTCGGCATCTTGGACTTCGACACTTTTTGACTTCGTTACTTTTAGGCTTCGGCCTCTTGGGCTTCGGCACTTTTGGACTTCGACACTTTTTGACTTCGGCCTCTTGGGCTTCGGCACTTTTGAGCTTCAACATTTTTAAGGCTTCGACACTCTCGGGCTTCGACATTATTGGGCTTCGACACTCTTGGACTTCGGCATTTTCAGCCTTCGACACTTTCAGACTTCGATATTTTGAGGCTTCAGCAAAATTTTGGCTTCAACACTCTTGGGCTTCGACACTCACGAATTGAGGATTTTTTGTCCCGGTAGTATGATCAGTTTCTTGTTAGCAAATTGATGCTTCCCGATCAATCAACATTAATTTGAAGGGGGATGTCAATCAGGAATGACGGAAATCAAACAACTAAATTAGGAGTTTTCTTTAATTAAAAGATTCTTTATTTCTAATATCTTTATTCTGATTTATTTCTCTTTCAGCTGAAATTTTAAAATAGAAATATGCATTATTAAGTTACCTAAAATAGATTATGCACTTTATTTTATACCTAAAACAGATTTTAAAATTATTATTTAATAGAATGAAAACAAAGGGAAAAGACAATCAAGCCTATTCAGAATTCAACCTATTTCTTAAAACTTTGACAAGTATCAACTTGACTTGACAATAGCTTGAATGTCTTTAGTCTCAACATCAATTGGTCGAACGTAGCTCCAATCTCTCGATTGTTCTTGGCATTCATTGAGAACATGTCATTCTAACATAAATTGGTTCATATTGAAAATTGCAAAAATATTGTCAAACAAATTTTAGTCTAAAGTGCGTTTGGTGCAACTACATTTGTTTCAATAAACAACTCCAAAGCTGCTTTTAGAATAAGTTATTTTTAGAAAGCAGTTGTTGTTGAATCAGTATATCTGTTTGAATAGATTTGTTATGCTGCAGGTTTTTCTGAAAGAAAAAGGTAACGTCATTATGTACATGTATTAGCTGAAAGTCAACACTTTACATTAGCTGTAAGTCAACAATTTCAGTAATTCTAACATAACAACAAAAATAAATTTTAGAAGTTCACAAAAAAGTTCACAAAGAATGAGATTCACTTCTGGAACGAAAGCCACATATGACATTTCTCTCTCATGAATCCAACATTCGGTAGGACAATTTCATGAAATTCTGATAGCGGTTGTGCTTTATGATATTACAACCAAACAATATAAATCAAATAGGAAAAATCAAGAATTATAGTATCCATTCCATATCATTTTTAACAACAATCGATAGAGAAAGAAAATACAAGGAATGTAAGAAAATAAACCCCACATTCCTAGCCAAAACAACAATAACCAATCGATCAAACCCTCCATCTTAAAAGAAATGAAAAATCACTCATGAACATGAGCAAGCAATAACAAAACCATGGAGCGCACAACCGAATAACCATACAAGCAACCACAAAAATCAGTGATCCGATTGATACTTGGGGATCAAATCAGAACGCTGTAAATCACATAACCAAAAATGCCATGGGGGTCACATTGATATCAGAGGGATCATATCAAAACTACAAAAATCACTGAATAAAAAATGCCACAAACCAGGGGGATCATGTCGGTACCAAGGGGATCAGATCGAAATCATGGGATCCGGTCGAAACCAAGGGGAATCAACGAGAGAGAGAGAGGGATGTGGGTAGTATTGGGAGAGTCAAACGAGAAGAGCTTGAAATTGGTAACCGCAACAACAAAATAGAGGTCCCAAAACTCCCTAAGATTAGGACCACGTTTTCCCAATTAGCATCTCAATGTTGGTGCAAACATTGTCGTGGCGTAGTGGGGCATTGTACTGCAGCGGCAACACCTTCCCAAACAGGGCCTAAATCTCTCGGTTCATAATATACTATATAAATTCTTGATGTTTCTTGCTTTTGTGTGGTGAGTTTTGAGTTGAGAGGATGATTGTTATAGTTATTGTAGTTATTATATTATCATTTTAGTATGTTACATATGCTTAATATTTATTAGGATTATGTAGTATTTATTTTATAATCTATTTGAATTGAGGCATTTACTTACATACCGCACAATTCTTATGTATTTACATATTTAGCATCTAAACATTCATTTTTACATGCATACCACTCAAATCTCTAACATCAAATGAAAAAATATTGCCATCACTATCTTTTTAAAAGTAAAATATACATTTTCATGCATAGGTTTATGACACAATGGTGCATAAATGTGAATATCAAACTTCGGGTGCTAGATTTGTAAATACATAATAATTATGTGGCATGTATGTAAATTTCCCATTCTAATCTTGCAGTTCTTTTTTATTGTAATTTCTTTTGTGGTTACACGATTGCTAGGATCAACCAAATAAATAAATTAAAGAAAACTATTTCTTCCTGAGCAGGGAAAGCCTCCAGATTGGCAGGACTTTGTGGGAATCATAACTTTGCTTATGATCAACTCAACCATCAGCTTTATCGAGGAGAATAATGCAGGCAATGCTGCTGCAGCGCTCATGGCACGACTCGCTCCCAAAGCGAAGGTTCCACTTCAGCACTCTTGCTGTTTTTCACTATAATTTCTGATTTTTTTTCCCATCTAAACTTGAGAAAGTTTAGGATATGTACGCAATCTAGGATTTTTATGGTTAACTTTAAGCAGCAATAAAGATAATTACAAGCATGACAGTCAAAACTTTGCTATTTACAATATTAACACCCATGTCATTTTTTTGAACTACCGAACTGGTTTTTTTACATTTGCTATGATGAAACCATTCGAAATTTGATAAAAATGAAAAATATGGGTTGAGAATTTGTTACAAAATTTCGTATTTGAGTGAAAATTAGAAAAACAGATGAAAGATGATGCTAGTTTCAAGTGCCATGTGTAATTACCCCATAAATTTATTGTATTTATTAGATTTAATTTTTCGGTTTTGTTGACGTAGGTGCTTAGGGATGGAAAGTGGAGTGAAGAGGAGGCTGCTATTTTGGTGCCCGGTGATATTATCAGCATCAAGCTTGGAGATATTATTCCTGCAGATGCTCGACTCCTTGATGGAGATCCGCTAAAAATTGATCAGGTTTTCAGCTCGATGTTTTTCTATTTTCTCGAGCAGAATTATGAATTGTTTTATAGGGCATTTACAAACATACCACTCAATTCTCATGCATTTACATATTTAACATCTAAGTTTTGTTTTTTACATTTATAGCACTCAAATCTTTCATATCACATATAAAATGCCACCTTTAAACTTCAGAAAAGTGAAATACACCATTTCATGCATAGGAAAGGTGGTATATATGTTAAAATTGAAGTTTAGGTGTTAGGTGCATAAATATATAGTAATTAAGTGGTATGTACGTAAATTTTCCTTTTTTTTCCAATTTGTTAATTCTCTCAACTGTCTTTTGCTTTGAATTTTTTGGGTGAAATATGTAGTCTGCCCTTACTGGCGAGTCACTGCCTGTAACCAAGGGTCCTGGTGATGGTGTGTATTCTGGTTCCACATGCAAGCAAGGAGAGATCGAAGCTTTAGTTATTGCTACTGGAGTTCACACCTTCTTTGGCAAGGCTGCACATCTTGTCGACAGTACAAGCCAAGTTGGTCACTTCCAAAAGGTGAGTGGAAAGGCATGAATTTGGCTCTCATATCTACATACATAGCACATAATTCTTTTGTATTTACATATCTCACTCCTAAACTTTCATATTTACACACATAACACTCTATTCTTTAATATCACATCAAAATAGCGCTTTTATCACTTTCTAAAAGTGAAATCCACCTATGTTTTGTATGTAAATATGAAAATTTAGGTGTGAGATATGTAAATACATAAGAATTGTCTGCTATGTATGTAAATTTCCCTTTATTTTATTAATTTTGCCGTTTTGTTGTTGGATTTTATTTGTTGAGCAGGTGTTAACAGCTATTGGAAATTTCTGTATCTGTTCTATTGCTGTGGGTATGTTTACCGAGATTATTGTCATGTACCCGATCCAGCGTCGGGCTTATCGTCCAGGAATCGACAATCTTCTAGTTCTACTTATCGGAGGAATTCCTATAGCCATGCCCACAGTCTTGTCTGTAACAATGGCGATCGGTTCGCATCGATTATCGCAACAGGTTGGCTTGACTTCATCTCCGAGCTTAAAATTAGAACTGAAAAAAAATAAAGATTTACATACATACCACTCAATTCTTATGTATTTACATATCTAACACCTAAACTTCAATTTATGCATATATGCCATCTGAACTATGCATGAGGTGCATTCTAATTTTTAGAAGCTAAAATAATGATTATTTTGATGTAATTTGAAAATTTCCGGTGGTGTAAATGTAAAAAACATAGTTTGGGTGTTAGATATGTAAATAGAATTTGGTGGCCAAAATGCAAATGACCCCTTTGATATTTGCATTTATAACTCATTGTTATTAAAATCTTGTACATAAAATCTGCATTATGCTTTTAAAAGTAAGCGATTGTGATATTCATCTCCGAACATAAAATTAGAACTGAAAAAACCACTCAATTCTTATGTATTTACATATTTAACACCTAACCTTCAATCTTTACATATGTGCCACCTTAACTATGCAGGAGGTGTATTTTACTTTTTAGAAGCTAAAATAATGATATTTTTGATGTAATCTGAAAATTTTCAGTTGTGTAAATCTAAAAAACATAGTTTGGGTGTTAGATATGAACATACATAACACATTGGTATGAACATACATAAGAATGTGGTGGCCCATATGCAAAATGTGGTGCCCACCCACTCAAAAGTTTGGGAATGTGGTGGCCCGTATGCAAAATGTGGTGCCCACCCACTCAAAAGTTTGATATTTGCATTTATAACACATTGGTATTAAAATCTTGTACATGAAATGTGCGTTACGCTTTTAAAAAGTATTGTGGTATTTTTGATGTGATGTGAAAGATTTGAGTGATATGTATGTAAAAATGAAAGTTTAGATGTTTGATTTGTAAATATATAAGAGTTGTGGTATTTATGCAAATGCCTTAAAAAACAAACATATGCTTGAATTGCTTTTGGCCTTTTAGTAGGCTATTGAACGATGAAAATGTATTTTTTTTCTTTTCTTCCCCATTTTTACCAAAAATTGTGTTCAGGGAGCAATCACCAAGAGAATGACTGCTATTGAAGAAATGGCTGGCATGGATGTGCTTTGTAGTGACAAAACTGGAACTCTTACTTTGAATAAGCTAACGGTTGACAAAAACCTGATAGAGGTCAAACTCGGGAATTTGAAATTGATAATATTTTCTGCTCTTGGCTTATTTGCTCTTACTATCTTATGGATCTCTTTGTAATTCTTGTATTTACACAGGTTTTTACCAAAGGTGTAACTCGTGATACCGTCATCCTAATGGCGGCAAGGGCCTCGAGAATTGAGAATCAAGATGCTATTGATACTGCTATTGTTGGAATGCTTGCTGACCCAAAAGAGGTAAATATCTGAACTGTTTTTATTCTTGTCCTCTTGTATCCGTCCATGTTTGTAAAAATTTCTTTGTTTCTCAAAGGCGCGGTCTGATATCCAAGAAGTTCATTTTTTGCCTTTCAATCCTACGGATAAGAGGACTGCTCTAACTTACATTGATAACGAAGGAAAACTTCATCGGGTCAGCAAAGGTGCTCCGGAACAGGTAACATGGTAGTGCTACTAATATTGTTTTACACTTTTTCCCTATTTTAGTCTGCTTTACAATTTGTTATTTTTCAGTAGGGCATACCTCCCAATTCTCGTGTATTTACATATCTAACATCTAAACTTTTCTTTTTACATCTATACCACCAAAATTTTTTATGTCACACGAAAAATACCACTATTTTAACTTCTAAAAAATAAATTACACTTTTTCAATCATAGATAAGGTTGCATATATGTAAAAATTAAAGTTTAGGTGTTAGATATGTGATTACATAGGAGTTGAATCGTATGCGAGTAAATCTTCTTTTTCAGTAATGTAGTCTTAAATGTTCATTTTGGGCTTCAGATATTGAATCTTGCACACAACAAATCAGAAATAGAACGAAGGGTTCATTCTGTGATTGACAAATTTGCAGAGCGTGGGCTGCGATCTCTTGCAGTGGCATACCAAGTAAAAGATACATACATACATACATATACATACATACATATACATACATACATATACATATATACATATATAC